CAGAATTCAAGATACTAGAAATCTACTGAACTGGTACTTTGTCTGGATTTTAGATTAAAAAAAGATATATCAACTTTCACGCATAGCCATGGAAACTCTCAAACTTTTGTAACATAATTATGGAGAACGCCACCTACGATAATTTTTGTTATTATACTTTTTTGTAAGGCTTTGTTGTCACGCGCACTGTGATTTGTCAGTTTAGTGTATTCCTCCCTATAATTTAAAGCTGTCTCCGAAGCCATCAAACACACTTAGAGATAAAATAAATGTTTTACTAACATTGTCTTCACAGCGAGTACTGTATGTTACGAAACGACGTTTTTTTTCCGTTCGATTTATGGCCATCGCGCTTCGTGCTTGGGCCAGCAGAAATTGAAAGGGAGAAAACTCGGTCCTTAACTTACATTACGGACCTCAAACTCTGTTAGTAAGAGTTGTTTAAATTGAAATCAGTCGTAACATATTTAACTCGAGCAAGTGTTTAGCGTACACAACAGATTTAGATAATCAGAGTTTTCAAATTAAGGGAGGGTTAAGAATAACGACTTCTCATTTCTTCTCAACAGACTCTCCAACCAAACAGTTTTTGGTATCGTGCCTGGAAGAGCTGCACGAGTTTTACAACACGAACAGTAAGGTGAAAATCACGCCTTGGGACCAAGACAACACAGTAGATATTGATAAGATTTACATACAGTTATCAATAGTGAGAGATGATAGAAAACCTGACGAAACAGCAAAAGAAAAGCTTCAAGATTACGCTGAAATGTTTAAAGGCTACGGAGGTCGTCTTAACTCTAAAAGAATTCTAGTCTACGGGAGACCGGGAATAGGAAAGTCTACTTTCACTCAGAAAATTGCTGTGGACTGGACCAGAGGCAAGAAAGAAATCCTAAAGAAGTTCGATGTTTTACTATTAATTAAGTTGCGAGACGTTTGCGACAGTCAAGATTTCCGCACCATGCTAGAGACTGCAGAGCTGTTGTCTGCTGATGACCCAGTGGCAGTCGATAACTTGGATAAATATGTCCGTGAGAACCAAGGCAAAGTCCTGCTCGTTTTTGATGGCTATGACGAGTACAGCGGTGGAAAATCATCTCCAGTTGATAAGATCTGGAGAGGCAGTCTACTGAGAGGTTGTTGTGTTGTTATCACAACACGGCGAGTAAAAGAAGAGGAGCTAAGCAAGCAGAGTCATGTTCAACTCGAGCTCAACGGGTTCGATAGTGAGGAGCAAGTCAAAGAGTTTGCAAGCAAGTTCCTTAGTGATCAGAAAAACGTAGAAGAGCTTGTTGAATATCTGCGGAAACAACAACACCTTTGGGACATGGCGAAGATACCACTTCTCCTATTAATGTTGTGTCTAGTTTGGAAGGAGAAAGACAGGAAAGGACTACCCGCATCTGGAGCGGACCTTTACTCAAGATTCATGCAGACCCTCTTGTATCACATGAAGTCAAAAGATTCAGAAGAGGAGTTTCAAAGCATAGATGAATACAAAGAAGAATTATCGAGATTAGGAGAACTTGCCTTTTACGCTCTTTTGGAGAACTGTCTTCATTTCAGTTTTAGCAAACTGCCTGATAGCGATGTCTTCAAGAAATTTATTGATGCTGCTTTTTTGCAAACTTCAAATCTTTCAAGTTCCATTCCTGAGAAAATCGTGTATTTCCTCCATAAGTCGGTTCAGGAGTTCGTCGCTGCCAGGTTCATCGTTCGAGAACTGACGAATAAGAAAAATGAAAGTGTCACCTGCCTTTCAAAAATTGATTCTTTTCAAAAAATAGAGGAGATGTTTGAAGTTCTGAAATTCGCCTGTGAGTTGTCTTCAGATGCTGCCCGCGCTGTTCTCAGTCATCTGCAGATGATAGGAGACAAAGAAGGTCTTACAGCGTACAACTTCACCGTGACGCCTTCTGTTGAGGATTTGTCAAATGATCAAAGAAGGTTTATTTCTATCAGTTCGGATT